TCGCTGGATTAACTTCAACTCTTCAGTATTTATGACGTATTTGAGTCGACCAGTAGACGAACTATAGAAATAGTAGTCGCAATCAATACAGATTGTATTTTAACCTAAATACCTTTAGTATTATATAACTCCATCCATTTAACGTAATCCAGTAACTTTAAACTACAGTCTACAATTAATGATTGTGTGACGATTCAGTGTAGTGTATAAGTATTTGAAAGAATCTTATTGACAACAAGCTACATACAAGGTGAGGGCAAATAACATGTACAAACTGTGCTGGAGGTGATTTCTTATGAAAAAATAAAAACAAAATATGGAATAAGATTTTTCCATTTAAGTTTAGTTTTCGATTTTCGAGAAAATCGAGTTTGAAGATTTATCAAATATGCTTGAGCATGGTTAAGGCTTTTTCGGAATTTTTTCGGGAACAAAACGTCTGTGGAAAAAGCTTCATTCTACGTTTTCAATTTTGTTTTCATACGTAGAACGACCTACTGTCGATTATTTAGTCCTATCTAGTCCGTAGTTAGCCATGTTCAAGTATACTTGATAAATCTTTAAACTCGATATTTCCGTTAACTAAGTCTTACATAAGAACAAAATTTTTCCCTATATTGTTCTTATTTTTTCATATAAAATCACCTCGTGCCCGCTTATACGTGTTGTAATGGCTGCACCCTAGACATAGATCTATCATTACGTTACCTAAAACATTTTTAAAATACCATTTTCCGCAATCTGCAGAAACCAACTCCCGAACGATTTTTACTCGAAGAAAAATACACGCGACTTTCGATACATCTTCGACCCATTTCCTCTAAATTCTATTTCAATTTTCTAACGCACGTTCCGTATCTTTCTTACGTGTTCCGCCATGTAACTCTTACCTAAGGCCTCGTAATATCGTTCAGCACGTGGCCATTCTATTTTAAAATAACCGCGTAAACGACTCTCGGCAGTCTGATCCAAACATCGTTCTCGTGAATCACTTTATTTGCCGTGGCACGTTCAAGAGCGCCATTATCATTCGCAGTTTTACTCGTTCCATATAGGCACACCCTTGAGCACTCTTGTGAATTTCGCCTCTCGTTGAGGAAAACCGGAAAACGGACATATTATACAGAGTTCGGCCGAATAACATGTAAAAACGGACATGACGTGATTGCCTATATAAAATTTAATAAATAATGAAATATGTATATATGTTTATTTATTTATATTTTATTATTTCTCATACATATATATGTAAATTCTATAGAATTCAAACTACCCGCCGACCGACATTTTTACTTTTGCTTCGCTACGGAGGCAGCTATTCTGTTGCATAGATTAGATCACGAGAGAATAACGGTAATTTAGAATTTAGGAAGTAGATCCTCGAAATTCCAAAATTTGTAGTAAATTTGTTATTAACTGTTAGTGTATTTATTTTAATTTATTCCCAAAATAAACTCGATTTTCTAGAACCGATCGTCTGATTTACCCCCAGCATTTGCGTTATTACATATAGTATATATATAGAAGAAATAAAAAAATTTGTTTAGACATATTCTTACTCTTTTCAAATTTTTCCAATTTTCCACGAGACGTTTTGTTTCCGAGAAAAATAAATTTGAAAATTTATCATACGCATGTACCTACGAAGACTTGGATGGAAAAACTGTACTCTACATTTCCAACATATTTTCTCGCATGCAGAATGTCCTACTGTCGATTATTTAGTCTTGTTGAGTGCGCAACTAGTCATGTCCAAGTATACTCGCTAAAATTTCGAATTCAATTCGAAAATTAAACCGAGAATAAACAATTGTATTCTATATTTTGTTCTTATTTTTCCATAAGAACGCCGTGTTCGCTTTTGCATGTTAGTCGGCTAATGTCTACATAAAGGTAGCCCAGGACATCGTTGTAAAATTTTTCAATCACAAAACCAACACACCAACCACACACACACAACCACAAAACCAAGAAATATTTGACCATGTCAGTAAGATGGTCACTTCAGGTTACTTCTTCTACGTTGGCACGTGCAAACAGGAAGACAAAAACAAATGTATTAATTACAGACAAGTATACATTATATTATCCATTTAATAGCACTGCTTTGACTATGTACATTCTAATTTTCCTAGAATTTTAAAAATAGGAAAAGAAGGAACTGCGATTATTAAGGACAGCTGTTAATTCGACGTTGATTGCAGTTTGACTATTCTATCAAAAATTATGAATAAAGGACCTGTTAGCCATAATATTTTACTACTTTATATCGTATATAGATCTCACAAAGGTCAATAAATGCTGTCACCATATAAATTTGTTCTCCATTTTCAGAGATAACTCATCAACATCCTGAACCTCTAATGTTATTCTAATAATGTTATATACATACATATGTACATATATATACATATTTCCTTTGGAATAGCATTAGAGGTTCAGAATGTTGATGAGTGATCTCTTATGATGATACACAGGAACATATATATGTATATTTATACACATATATAAGTGAATAAATAAATAAGTGTATGTGTCGATTACTTGTGAATCGTTTTTCTTTTATGTCGTACAACAAAGCTAAAACGATCGTGCAAAATCTGAAATGAGAATATCACCGATCTCTACTTAGCCTTTTATTACTCTCGCTGTACATGCATATAATCACTCATTGTCAAAGTTTTATGAAGGTTCTAGGAAAACCACCAGCGATGTGTACCGAAAATATGAAAAGTGTAGAGAATCAAAAATTTCAACAATAACATCTACAAAAGACGTAATCATAATTAAAATTAAAGTGAAACTTGAATTGCTTAGAAAATCCTATTTCTGTCGTAGAATATTTCCGGCAAGTAACCACATACTTTTCTGTTCTGTTCTGTTATTGTACTTACCATTACTATATAGTAGGTACTATATAGTATCTACGTCTACAGTACTTATCTTACAAATAGAATATAATAGCGCACATTTTAATAGTTTTACTATTTTTTCAAAAGTGACCTCGTTAGAACGATTATCTATTAATTCGAAGTAATCAATAGTTTTGTACGACCCTCCTTTGCTCTCTCAACAATAAATTCCTATTTCCCTAGGGTAGGGAAATTCCTATTTCCCTCGTTAATCCTCCTCGTTAATCAGTCCTCGTTAATCGGCAATTGGTCAAAGAACAATTAACCAAAGGATCGAACATAGCTCGCTGACACGTGCCCTTGCGAACGTCAAAAGCATCAAAACAGATCTCCAATCGGCCGCGTGTAGCTCGCGTATTTGCATCGAAATGGTCTATCGCGGACGGCGTGCAAAATAAAATTCGCGGACTCGTGTAGCATTAAATCATTTCGCTGGATGCTCTGCCATGGATTTATAATGGATCTGATAGCGGCGGTCGCCACACGCTCGTCTGCTCTCGTTGCTACCGGGGACAGTGGCGAACGAATAAACGACTCGCAGCCTTCCAGTCTGTCGAGAGAAAAGAGAAAAGAGTGGAAATCTCGACATTCCCCGGCTACTTGATATACGCGTTTAGCCCCGAGCTGGGGTCGCATTACGTGGTTCGCCTGCGATGATCAGCTACGTTCTAAGTACCAGAACGCGTGTTTTGTCTCTTCAACATTAATGTAGACTTAGATTAACTACTGACTTAACGTCAACGGCGAAAATTAAAGTTAAAAATTAAAATTATATCAATTATGTATCTAAATTATATGTAATTATGAGTTGGCTATCGTACGCTCCATAAGCAGACATATTTTATTATGGTCTTTTAACAATACTTGAAAAATTTCTGAAATATTTATTAATAGATCGTGGATATTTGGATAAACTTATACCTTTATAAGGATAATTAAAGAAATGGAATCTCAAAAGCTTGTTACATTCATTTAACAGTATATTTAACATATTTATGCGTTGTTAAGTGAATTTTGTAAATGTTTCCATCTTTAAATTTCTTATATACGCATAAACATCCGTTTATCAATATATTTATTAAATAAAGTTTGTAATATCTTTTAATAAAAAATTCAGCAGGAAAATTCTTTTCCTATATTTACATAAAAATAGATAGAAGTATTTGACCGATAGAAAAATATTTTTCTCCTATAGTTTACCTGTATTATCCAGTATACAAACTTCTGTTTGAAGAAACACTGTACAGTTTGCGTATGAATCATCGATGACCTCATGAAACAAACGACTCTTTCTTGAAGTAAACATTTCGAAATGAAAGGAGGAGTTTAAAATTGTAGTAGTCTATTTGAGTTTTCTGAAGAATCTAACGTTTTCTGTGCCTTATACGTATATACTGTGGGACAAAAGACAACAAATGCTTTTTTTCTGAAACATTCAACCGGCAGTCAATAGAGTTTTTCAAAGAGCGACATACAAGTGGTACGAAACGAGGAAGACAATAAGTTTATAAACAAGTGTACGGAAATACATCGCTAAAAATGTACGAAACGTCCCTTGTTTATCTAACAAAATAGAGAAAGAAGGTTGTCTTCCAAACAACATTATCCACGTGTCATAAATATTATCTTGTATTCCCTCAGTTTCAAACAAATCTTTGAACGTCCGATCAAAAAGATCGCGCTCCAACTAGCGTTCGCTAGTTTAAAAAAACATACACATCACAAAGACAGGGTTAGAAGGAAGAAAAACTAAGAGATTCGATCCGGTTGAAAAGTTATTCGTTCGCCTCAACAAGCACCCGTGGCGCTAAAAAAAGAAGTTAAAAGTCGGCCACTAAAAACCAGATTCCATGCCACTGTGTATACGCTATGCGTGCCACCCTCTCGCGAGAGCTCGAGCTCTGGCACTCGCCGCCTCCGCGTAGGTGGAATTATTTTCTAGTAACGCGTACCACGTTACCACCCTGTAAATTAACCATCGACTGGATCGTGTAGGCGTCGTCAATCGCATTATTATAGCACGCGGTAGTAAATTTAGCGAAATCACGCGGTCTAATGTTACAGATTCGGCTACGTTACAGCAGAATGTTTCAACTCCCGGAATTTTTTTATTCGAACAGATGATTCTCACAAATCTGGAATACTAAATTAACTGATGACTGGAGAAAGAAAAGAGAGAAGAGAGAAACAAAGCTTTCAAAAATAGACAAAACGAGCATAGATGAGTCAGAATATGAATTCCGCCGCGAGGCTTCGCTCCGATTATCGAGCGTTCCAAAACAATGCACTCGGGATGTCTTGTGGCAAATTACCACAGCATCCAGCTCGATCTAAACGACGATGGGTAGAGTGGAAGTGCACAGGGCATAAATCGCAGCTTATACATAGGTCAGAGTATAAATCGTGCGGTTCAGGCGCGAAAGCACCGGCCGGAGATATGGAGGGGCTGTACCGCGTTCTATGCGAGTATTTCGAAATTCTCCCAACTCGCTGAAACAATGTAATAAGAATCCTGTCAAAGTATAGAGGAAACGCGGACATGAAATCTAGTGGACAATGGAACGATCGATAAGTGTTCTAGATTAAGCAAATCATAGACGTACGTAAGTACATATTTACATTTTTACTTTTGTTGCTTTGTGTAATCAGTTGGTAAGGTTCATACGATAAAGGATGGAAGTATGATTTATATTTGGAAATTCGATATAATCATAATTTTAGAAGTTTGAGTTATGAAAATTTCAGCAATTTTGAAACTATAATTTGTTATACATAAATTAAATGAATAATATAACCGACTATGAAAGTATATATCAAAATTCTACAAATTCTCCAGGCTATCCTTCGTAATTACGTAACTCGTACTTCATACATCGTGACTGAACGATACAACTGAGCGAATTGTACTTGTCCAACCATCTTTTTTATTTTTTTTTTTTTTTTTTTTTTTTTTTTTTGTGCGTAATTACGTAACTCGTACTTCATACATCGTGACTGAACGATACAACTGAGCGAATTGTACTTGTCCAACCATCTTTTTTTTTTTTTTTTTTTTTTTTTTTTTTAGATTTAGAGGCTGAATTTCACTTATGAGGCGGTATTGACGCTGGTGTATCAGTTTCCGATGTTCTACGCGAAAAACTTGCGTTCTACCTGGTATCGACGATTTGACCTCTTGACTCGGCGCGTAAGTTGGCGCACTGGAGGCGAGAATTTATAAACCTGCAACTCGAGTCGAGCTCCTACCGTACTTTGCGGCGAACAACACACGTGCACTCCGTGTTCGGAAAACACGAACCCTTTCATTACGATGATTCGAATCAAATCAAAACGAATTCAGTTGAATGAAATCGCGATCGTATCTGTCAGACTCTGTTTTTTTTTTTTTTTTTTTTTTTTTTTTTTTTTTTTTTTTTTTTTTTTTTTTTTTATAAACGCAGTGTGTATGATTTACCATTTGGACATTTGATATATTTCTCAATCTGGTAAATGTTATAATTATAGGTTTGTGAATTAATGTCACGAGTGTACCTCCAGCGAGTGTCACTATAAACAGTTGTTTCACAAACGATGAGACAGGCCGTAAAAAAATTTATTGAAATTTATTGCGAATCCATTCTGCATCGATTTCATGGTTCGACGATAGTCGTATTATGTTGAATTTGAGTATGTTTATTAAATAGAGTATGAAGAACTAGGAATGGTTCATTTTTTTAATTAATCTGGAACTGACAATGTTTGATATATGCCAGTGGCTACAAAAGCATGTGTGAATATCATTATATTTGTGATAAGATTTATATAGTAATTAATTAAGTCCAAGTAAGTATGTTGAATATCGAATCGTTTAATAGCATGTTAAACACTTGATAATACATAAAAAGAAAGATAAAACATTATTGTTTATTAAATCCTAAACTCCTGTTTAACAAATAACTTAATAAAACTAATATATAATAAATGGAATATGCATATAGCATACATATTTTGAATATTTATTAAAAAATAGATTTCTTTGAAAAATATACATAAAATAAAAGTATTAACAATAGAAGTGGCTTTGAATTACTGAAAAATGGGAGTCTAAAACTCCTAGAAGCTGCACGTAGTCCATTGAATACATGTTATAAAATACTATAAAATATTCTGCACGTGTTCCCGAATCTACAGTCTCTTCCTTCCAACCATCAAACTTTTACATTTTATAAGTCTGAGTCTAACATTTACACCAAACGAGAATACTGAGCACAATGCGTACTGCATTCCATTCATTATTTATATTCTCGTGATTTCCTGAAACATCTCAGTTCCTTCTTCCTACCACTGACTTACAAAATGAATTCACAGTCATTGATTGTCGCTATGAAATACAATCGTACCTTTTAAGATGTCATCGTAAGTGGTTATTCCTGAGGTGAAACACGGTAGAGTAAGATCGTGTTGCAATTTACAAGGAAGAAATGCGGAGGCTGCATAAAATCTGTATTATCAGTGAGTCATGTCTCTATCTTTTAGATTCGTTATGGTTTAAACACGCTGCGTGCCTTTGCATCTATTTTCTATTTCCTGTTTATTCGCTACAGTAAATACTACGTATAAACAAGATTCGTTTTCTTCGTCAGAAAAAATCAGTTATCTTATAAGTCTTAAGAAATAATATAGCTGAGATGTTTTTAAACAATTGCATACTGAGATTTCTTTTCGTGCCTCTTAAATCTAACATTAAAAGGAAGAATAATGTTTGTGGAGGTAATAGAATATTTTCCATATATATACGAATTATAAAATACACAATTCTATAAATATATTACCATTCTTTGATAGTATTTCTTTATTAATTATAATTTCCATTTTGTAGTTTTAAATACCAGCGTTTTAGCAGTGTCATATTTCCATTAAAAATATATATTCCATACTTAATTTAGAGATCACTGCAGGAGTGAGGAAGAAATTTAAGAAAAATCGTGACTTTAATGAAGAATGTATAGTTGATGTTTATTCTGATAATAAAGCACATTGCTCTCAACAGTACCTTGACATCGTTCTGTATCAAATTACTTCCACCATGTAATGATTAAAAATATTAATTCATTGATTATTAATAGGCTAGCTTATTAGTAACTCTATTACTTCTGGCTTATTAGTCTGCGATATATGTACCACCTAATACTACTTAACAATTTGATAATTATATATTCATATTACTAGTCTATCCCCTCATTAGTTAGATCTACATTGACTAATAAATTCATAAATATTTCATATTTTCCCATATTTTTATCTGTACCATAGCAATATATATAGTCTTTTAATTTATCTTTCATTTCGTCAAGGTTCTTTAGAGGTTTGATCCAAAAATCGATAAAGTTATTAAATCTAATAATTGTTTCGTGGAATGTTGATATATCGTTGCCACCTCCCCCTGCTATAAAACCAGCACAATACACTATACCCTCATTTGATAACATAAATTGTCTAATAAACTTTGTCCTTTCTGCCTCTTCTTCGAAAGCCCATTTAATAAATTTCTCTGCTATATCTATATAATTCCACATCATATTGCAGTTACATTTTTTAAACATATTCCTATTTACTAGTACTTGCTTTAACTTTTGTATTTCCTTTTTTGATAATAAACACCAATCTAAAAAATACTCAATTGTTTCAAAATAATTATCTTTTATAAAGAACTCGCAAAGTCTTTCTTCTAATCGGTCATTTACTAACTTCTGTCTCTTAAACCATACTATCTCTTCTTCTGAGTGTAAAAACCAGTATAAAAACTTATGAGATTTCTTTCGTGCTATTTCTATATGTTCTTTTTCTACTGCCCATAGTTTATAAATATAATCATATGAAGATACATCGTCTGTAAAATTATCCTTACAAATTTGTATTGCTTTTTTTGTAGAAAATTTCCAATCTAGCAACTTATCTGCTAATTCGTATTTATCGGCTTTTATGAAATTTAGACAAAGCCCTACATGATTTATCTTACTCTTAAGCTCTTCCTTCTCTTCTATGGAATCAGATTGCCAATCTAATAATTTATCTGCCAAATCATATTCGTCTTTATTTATGAAATAATCCCATATATTAATGGCTTGTTTAAAAAGCTTCTTCTCTTTTTCAAAAACTAATACTTCCTCTGTGAATTGATTTAATAATTCATATTGTCCTAGCCTTATTAGCTTTCCTATCCGTATACATATTATATATCCAGATTCTAATAATTTTTTTCTCCATTGTGTCATCTCCGGAGCATTAATTATTAACTTTATGCTTGATAAGTGCCAAATCCCTAATAAATCCTGTATGAGATCTAAATATGGATCTGTCTCAGCTATCTTTGATTTTAAGCATGCAGGGATTTTATGCCATACTTCATGTAGCATCATTCCATACTTACTATTTTCTATTACATACCCTAAATTATAATCTCTTTTCATGCAAGATATAATCACATATAACAAATTTAAACCTGTATAGCCATTATTTTGCGCTTTCAAAGCTGCCTCTAATTCGTCTAATATTTGTCCAAGAAAATCTTGCCATGGCCACATGGGTGATATCATTCTTAAAATGCTACATACATATATATCATCCTCAAATGAATCATATACAATACAAGCTATAGTCTTTCTCTTATTATCTGTTCTCACTTGATTTATAAGAAATATACATATTTCTACATACTTTTCTTGTCTATGACAAGATTCCCCCATGGTTGTATAATCAGAAATATGGCTAGTAACAGATATTTGTATACCACTAGCTACATTTCTGTTTCTTTCTTCCTCATTTAACTTATCCCAAAAATATTCTACAGCCTTGCTATATCCTCCATAGACTGACCATCTAAACATATTCTCTTCTACTGAATGATATCTATTATATAAATGATTATACATATATGTCCCTCCTGAATGTACTGCTGTTTCAAGATATCTAATAAATAGCGATAAATTTCCATCCCTACAACATCGCCAATATGCTAATATAAGACTCTTATATTCCGTATATGTATTTTTACGACATTTATTTCGCACCTTTTTTGGTATTTGTTCCCATAAACTATTGATATTTTCTTCTAAAGCATACTCACATGCCATATCATAAACTGTAGCAATATTTAGTCTTGGGTTATCTATCCAAAATGATTTCAATATCTTTACCTCATCTATTGATCCATAATGAGTCCAATATATTTTCTCAATATAATTAATTGCTGATTCTTTTTTACCATATTCAATATTCTTACGAATATACTCATACCAGTTAAATATCTTCTCACCTATAGATTTTATTATGTGAGTTAATTCGATCTTCAATATTGAATGTAATATATATGAGTCTATCTGTTTTAATATTAATTTTGTTATATCATGCCACTTCTTCTCGTTACTCTGATTCTCACGTTCTTCATACTCAAATATTAAAAATTCTTGTATTTTATTTCTGATATGTGATTGTTCCCATAACCATGTTGCCATACTAATCATCGCCATACGTTGCAAATTTAATTCAAACTTAAATTGCTGTAGCATAGGAAGTTCCATTTGTTGTATTATTAATTACAGACGTTATGCAGTGATTAAGAAATAAGCAAATTATCTCTCATATATTTTAAATTTTGATAAGTGATCTAATTATCTCTTACTAAAAGCTTGTATTTTATAGTAAAGTTATTAACGTATGGCTACACATAACCTTAGTTATAGCTTCCGTTCAGTTAGAATTTTATTTACTTAATGTGTGATATTCTTCAACATGCCTTCTTAAAGTTGATAAATGGATTTTCTAATTTCAAATCGTTAATAATTAAGTATAATATACCAGAGTGTGGAGATCCAGAATGCATTATTAAAGAAGCCAGTGAAACACTAATAATAAGCGTCCCTCAACGTGATTGTCTCATCTCTGATGGTAGGGGAAACATGCGAATATATGACAAGAGGGGAAATATCGAATCGTGCGGAGAAATGTACTGCGAACTTCCGCGGTAAACATACATTGCCGTCTATAAGTAAATACTAGCACACTTATTAATATTTATATTTATATTAATATTTAACATAAATATTAGCTTTCCATTGCTTTACTTTCTAGTTATTTTATCATAAATGTATTATCCCATTTATATCAAATATGCGTTGTAACGAAAAACAACAAATAAAGTAAAATTTGTTAGAATTATATAATAAATATGATAAGTGGATATACTAATACTTATGTTCGATAATGTAGCTAAATTCTTTTTTCTACATAATGTGACAATTGCTGGCAGAAAACACAATTTAAGAAAAAGGCATACAATTTCGTTTTGCTGATCCAAAGTAAGTTGTTTCCAATTTCAGCAGAGACTTCTTTTATAGTAGATATTTACAAATTACATATATGTACAGAATAGAAATTCAGAAAAAACATTTCTAAAAACAAAAACAATTTTTGAATCATATTCCATGTTGTCAATTGATATTTTATTGGTGAATTTAAATAACTTTCATTTATCTATTACATAGGCATTTAAATGATTTTTCTTATCGAAAAGAAAGTATTACGCTTGCTTTAAATGAAAAACGATTATATAAAGTATAGATAATACTACTATTAACATCTTCTCCAAACATCTACAAATTATTAATTTCATATTTTATGTAACAACTGCGAGGTGATTTACTGTTTTAATACGATTACTCTGCTCGCCAGTTGTAGAATAAATGACGCGTGGCAAGAGCTACAGCGCCAATTATCCTACGTTCATAGCATAGATTTTCTTGATCAAACCACAGGATACTTTTCACGAGTACATATACACTTTTACTATTTCAGTTAAACCGCTCGCATGACAATCATTGTAACCTTTTAATTGGAAGTGAATAATCTTCGTGA